TTACAAATATGTTGTTCATTTAGTTAATCTAATCTGTTGCACAAAAATCTGAAATGACCTGTATGACCTAAAAAATTTTCCAAAAGGTACAAAACAGACAGATTCTGAGACACGGAAAGTGCCATTTTCAAGTCTTGTATTCGTAATTCTACTCAAATAGAATGAAGCACGTGTCTGCAGGATTTTGTTCACATCCGGCTGACAGCCTATATGCATTTTTTAATTTCTTCGAGAAGAGCGATAGTACTTAATTAAACACGTAAATATGATCGGAATTTCGGTGTACCTTCCAGTGTTACTGACTTTTACTTCATTTTGCGGTACGTATGTCATCTGCAAACATTTGTGTGCAACATAATAATAATTATGATATGCAAGAATACAAACTTGTCGACTGTATTTGTTAAAAGACGATTTCATTTGAATCGGTTAGTTTTAAATTGGTCAAAGACGAGTGACTGACTGGTCAAAGTAGCATACGCGATTTTGAACGGTGTTACTTTTTACAAAAGGAGATTGACGTTATTTAGTATCAGTTGTTTACGTCTTTGCAAGTGCGTTTTGACGGAGCGAATAGGTGACACTAGACAATTCACACTGAGCGACTCGTCCTGGCTTTGTTGGTGCTTTCTATCGATCGTGATCGCGATTGTCATGCGCTTGAGTTCACTCTTCCCATTACATAACGATCAACGCTAAGCCATTGACTGAAGCGGGCGGAGGCACATATTTTCCTGCGCCACCTCTGCAAAGCAACACTAAACTATCACCTTACTCCTAGTTTCGGTTTTTAGCAAAGTAAACCTTAAGCTACGAGATACCAAATGCTTTGTATAACGAGACATTCAGTCTCGTAAGACTGTTTGGGAGATTCAATGCTCCTAAAAGGTAACTCAACATCAATAGACAGATTTTGGACAGGCAAACTTCCTCTGCTTCGTTTAGTGATAGGTATCTCAGAACAACTTTATCTAGGCGTTCTTCTTCTCCCATTGTCCAGGGAACATATCTCGGTTTTCTTTGATTGTGTCATCCATGCAAATGTTGTGAGCCCTGTTTCCCAAACATGCAAGTAGGTTTCTTTTTTAATACGCATACAAAGATGAAGAAGTTTACTTTATGGCTGGGCCACGACAGCGCTTATTATACTCGTCTATAAAGAAAACCAGTCATCGGCTTCACTGGAATGCTCAAAGGACCTAGTTAACAGAACAAAGTAGCTCGTGTGCAGTTTCAACAAAGCAAAAACTAACAAAATAACCTGAACCCGCCGTTTATGATGTGAGATGCTGGATCACGCAGCCCAAAAATGGTATGTACAATTTTACTCAGAAAGATATCAGCCAAGGGGAACCAGGTGGGCATTCAGCTGCTACTCACTTTCCTAACCTAGAAACTGGACAGGTGAACAAAGAATGTATGTTGGCTGTATCTCAAAATAGTAAGACTTTATAACCTTGGACCGCTTGGCTAATAAAATGGCAGATGAAATCAATCGCTTAAGGTCGGGTATGTTGAAAAAAGGATTGGAGCGTTCAAAAACAAACCCGTATACCACTAATTTTAACGTTTTGATTAAAGTCGACATAGTCAAATTTCACTTTAGGACACTGGGTACATTCGTTTTCCATCCGACTTAAGCATGCTGTTTAAACTGCAAGCAGTTAGATAATGAGGAAAACCGCTTAGGTAAACTGGACAGTGTTACCTGTGCACTTTTGAAAACCCAATAAGGTCCTCTGTGCTGGTCTGAGATTGTTCTACTGATGTTTCGTGATTCGGTCACCGTTCGTCAGTCGTTTTAAGCAACTTAGTATTTATGCCATCACAGATTTTGTTTTATTCTTTTCCTGTGTTCGTAGGTACCTAAACGTCGGATAAAAATCCAAGAAAAATCTGATTTAATGAGGAGACTGAGATCATATCCGATCTGATCCACTTTTAAACAAGTTTTTGATGCTCCATCCTAAGATATGTTACCTTCACTCCAAGCCAAGTTGAGAAAGTTTGGCTTTCATCTTTTAACCCCCGAGAGACTTTCGTCGATAATCTGACAGGCAAAAGTAATTTGGCAGATTTCACAAATAACTTTTTCGTCTATGGATTTTTGGACGGCTCAAAAGTCATACAGTGAGCTCCGCTTACCTCTACTACAAAGCTGATACTTTGGTGAAATGTGGATAAAGTTTAAGCTTTTTTGAAGTAAAAGTACACACACACCCAAAGGCCTAAACCCTAAAGGGCTCTAAATTTATCACACTTGGTTCACTCTAGTAACCATTTGGAATGAAGCTCCGAAACTTCTTGGTTATTTCAAACTAAGATGTATCTTAGGTGATTTCATGCTAGAGAGAGCCTAAATGGTTTGTAACTATCGTATGTTTTGTTTTTGAGTTCACAAACGTGTTACAACTGCTAGTAGTAAAAAGTCGATGAAATTCCATTAGGAATTGCTATCATTGAATTTCTCCATATTACTTGCAATAAATAAATTATCCAAAAATTTTAATGCACAAAAACTACATTGTTTTTTCGGCTCAAATGACGACCTTTTAAATCCTACAAACGACCCACTGACGTTTTTACTGTTCCTTAGGCTTGCCCGATTGTTGAAGGACTCTATTCACTCTCCACTTCTGGTAGTTCTAATATACTAACATGCTAGTTCAACGTCAGTCTGCAATCAAACCGCTTTTGCATAAAAGAAAACAATTTATTTCAATTATTGAGACTTTGATAAGCCGGTGGGCCCTACAGGTTAGAGAAACGAAAATGAGCTATCTTTTGATACCAGGTAATCATCCCATGCTACGTTTTCGTGATCGAAGTGTTGCAAAGCTAAAGCCCGAACAAGGAAAATCCAATAAGATGTACAGGAGTTCACCTTCTAAAGTAGCTTGTGGTCAACTACATCATTTCAAACAAAATTAACGCCACTGTTGCCCTAGCATTTTATGTCGTTGGCTTCACTGCTGGCACCGCGGGGTCTCTTAAAAGATTTTTGCGAGGCACTCTATTATCCTCTGCAGAAGTGAAATTCCATATAAATTACGGAGCATTTTGCACTGTCGGCTTTTTCTTGAATTCTATGCTAGTACTCGGATTTCATGAATAGTGGTTTATAAGGTGGAAAATATCAATGGGACGTTTTGCACCTACTTTAGACAAAAATTATAAAGAAAGCATTTCTGACCTCATGACAGATGTTCACTTGAAGAAATGCCAGAGTTTACATCTTTATTGGTATAAGCGTTGGCAGCTATCAAGGGAGGGTAAATAAAAACTCTACATCCTGCCACGATGGATCAAGGGAATTTTAGGGTGCTTAACAAAGACATCTCGTATGACTCCTCGGGTGCCTTGATATTGTAAGTCAGCCTACCATTAAATAACATGTTTAAATAAATGACATAGTATAATGTCAGTGAATTTTTTTTCCAGTGAATTGCCTCCCAGTCTTATCGATTTGGTTTGTTCCTCGGATTTCGATTTTTGGTTCCCTGCCAATCAAGTGACATTCTTGAATCGAGATCTAGCATACTAAGTTTAATGAATGACTAAGACGCTGTTAACTTTCAGAATTGAGGTAAAAATCTCGAACGCAACAGGAAAAATGGTTTTAGGCAGGGTGCCATTTGAAAAATTGGATGCTTATGACATGTGAGATGAAGATTTATGAACTTCGTTTTCGGATCACATGGTTTTGTCACGAATGCCAGTTGGAAACGTTTTTCGTGGTTGGCCCGCAATCGAGCAACTATCCTAATTTGTATACAGTGGCCATACTATTTTTGGGCAGCTAATTTTTTAGCAGCTTCAAATACCAATTCTTATTTTTGTCTGGTTAGAAAAGTTGCCTCCTTCTGAGTTTTCTGCTCGACGGGGTTAAAGAAAATAATTAGTTCAAAATATATTATTTTGCACGGCGTCAGTGTGTTCCATGGATGGAAGCTTTTAAAGACCCATTGAATACAATGCAGTAAATAAAGTGTTACTAAATAAGGGTAAGACAGCCTTCGCCTTACAAGATTAGGGAAATTATAGAAGGAGGAGTTTTATGTGATGCAGTGCTGATAGCCACTGGCTACCACCATCTTTCACGCACAATTATGTCGACATCTAAAGACGGTGTGCTTCAACTGCATTGCACTTAGGCAAGAGCTAAGTACTATCGGCATATATGTCTGATTATTAGTGAACAAAACCATGCAGGTAGGAATTGTATTGCTTTTAAGCTTCAACTTTTTTGTTAAAAATAGTCCGAACAGGTAGCCTGGGACGGATAAAAAACTTTCAGTAAAAAAATATAATGACAACGAGCTCCCAGTTAAACGAACCTCTAATAAACCTGAAGCCTTTACATGAAGGTGAATACTGACTATGAAATACATTCATGTCTATCGGGTCCTACTATCTGTTGACTGTATAATAGGACTTTAATAATAACCGTAGTTTGATCGAAAAAAGGTTTAAATGTTTGTGATCTTGACAACAAAGATTACATTCTCACCTAGTATAGGCACCAAGGGTACCTTGAATACTCACATAGTGAATATGATTAGCGTGCACGATATGTTTATCTCACGATAGTTTTCTGTACCCCTGATTTGTTTAGCACTTAGTTGGCTGGACTTTTGATTGAATTTTCTTCGGATTCAATAAATGCGTCCAAAAAATGTTCAAGAGTTTCCTCGTCAATTTCTCAAATACCACTTAAGAAATTAAGTTCAAATTCATCGGTATTTTCTGAGAATGTACGCCACTGTAACCACCTGCACTCACGGATGAAAACCGTTTTATGGGGTAGTGATGTGCAACCCCACATTTTACGCGTAAAATATTTCTGCATGATCGACTTTGATAGGCCAAGTCGACGATAACAAGAAATTTCCTAGGTTTTCCACTGTCCCATTTTTAACTCCTTCAAAATATAGTAGTCAAAACTTGGTGGCACTATATCCCCGCTTATGGCCACTTGAAGACTTACTTGTAAACCCTTTCCATTACGAATATCTTTTATCCAGACATCCGTGTCTTGCCTTCTCACACTACATTTGCCAACAAAATTTTAGTAGGGAAGGACTTTGAGATCCTCACTAATTTGGTCGGTAATCCAACAAAGGGCAACCGTCGAGCGTGTCAATACTCCAGCAGCACGAGTTCGCGATTGCAACTAGGGATCCTCGCAATCCATGTGGAGCAATATACGACCAAATCAGACACAATTGTTGCACGTTACCGGGTAAATGCAGAGGAATTTGTTCTATATTTGGCCGGCCAAACTCAGTTAACCAGTAATGAATAACACAATCACTGTAAATACCAAAGCAAAAGCTGCACTTTTCAACGTCATTTGAGTCAGCTTTCTGGAATCCGCCAGAGCAAACTCTTCAGTACATAGTCATTTCCCCACAGCAAAATTTTCGTAAAAAACATCGTTTTATTTATAGTTTGCTCCAAAAACATTCTCAGAAGCTGCGACACGTGGTGAAGCCGTTAATGTCACTGTTCCTGTTAAAACAGTGAGCTTTGTTCACTGAAAATATTGGCACTTAAAACGACAGTGAGGAGTAGAGCCAAACACTCAGGAGTATGGCAACCTCATCATGCAAATAATAAGAAGCGAATGCTGAGCTTCCACAACGTTAATACCAAACTGCCAAAACATACCATGCGCAAATGCTAAATGAGTTCTGTTGGAGCGATCGACTTGTGATATGATTTTCATGCATCATACGATACGTCATGGAATATAGGTCAACCAATTTTCATATATATATATATATATATATATATGAAAATTGGTTGACCTATATTCCATGTAAACGCAACGCTTGATCGTGAAATTCATCCAGGTTTATCACATTCGGCACCCGTTTTAAAATTGTTTGGTTCGTAGGGACTTTCCAATGAGGTTGTAGTGTTGCGAGTAATCTGAAATTCTTCAATCGTATATGATATCATAACCAATGCTCAATATTTTTATACCTTCAAGTCAGCTTTGAACTGCATATTTTATTGACATTTGCGGGTGTTAACCCATTAATGTACATCAATGGATAGAATGGACATAACGTCGGTGAAGGGTTATTGTCTTAACTATTCAAATTGTTTGTTGCCACTGAGTTACCGCTTGAAGGCTACATATGTTCCTCTCGTGCCTTGACGGAGTTACCTCGTATTAGCTGTTGTAAATTACGGTACAGTTTGCCCATGCTAAGTCTGAGAAACACATCAGTTGAGTTAGCGTCTGCGAATTCTGTGGAAGTGTTTGTTCCAGAACGTTCGCATAAGATTTCAAATTAAAATGCCAAACTGTCTACTGTTGGGAACTTCAGTGAAAGTGAAGACCAAAATCTACAGACCAACTCTAATTCATCAAAAGCCTTACTGCAGCAGTGACGCCTTTATTTCGTGATGAAAAGCCATTTAACCTCAATGACACTTGCGTGGTTAGCGTGCTGCATATCCAAAGTAATTTGTGCAGTGTGAAATTGGGGCACCAGATGTATGTAAGTCTGGTGATGTCAGGCGAATGACTTCCAATACTTTGCCTGTTGAATCACCAGGCCGACTACTTATGGTGTGAGGTCATTATTACAGCTAAGGACCAAGTTTTCACTGTAGCTTGTGAGCTTGGGTTGATCAAAGTGCAGAGCATTAAAATTTTAATCGTTATTTACAACAACAAACCAGTTACACACTCTGTTGCTTAAGTGCCATGCAACCAGTGGGACAATGGAAATAAAAGGGGGAAATAGGGAGTTAGACCGAATTTGTCTTCATGTAAAACTGTCAAAATAAAATACCTTTACTTTTAGATAGCGTTAAAGCAAACACTTCTGAGCATCATGCTGGAACAGCGTGCTATAAGAGATCCCTAGCGTCCCTTGAGAAGCCCATCAGGCATGACCCCGCGTACAGCGACAGTAAACGTTCCGGCTAGAATTTTAGCACGTGCGCCACTGAAAAGTTTACGTGACACTTGCTGCAGCATTTTCAACCATCTGCAGTCGGCATCATGTGAGCCCTAACCAGGAAGGCTAGTGTGCATAGCATAATGGGTACCAGATTTTGACGTAAACTTTCTACCAAAATCAGGTATAGTGGAATGCGACAACTGTAAATAAACGATGTCTATGTAAGGGATAAATATTAAGAAATTAAGTGTCTACATAAGTAGACTTGCGGCCAAAACGATTCATTTTTAATGATGCCCTTGATTACAAGAAATTTCTACAAAGACGTACAAGAATAAATTCTACCACTCCCGTTATTTCATATACCCTCGGGTTTTCGTGCATTGTTATGGGACAAATTGTAAACCGTGCAACCACAGTAGGCTTTGGTGATAGAATGTTGACCACAATGCTTTTTGATGAGATTCTGAAGAACGACATTCAACACGCTTTTAGGATTGCGCCATTCCACCCGAATAACAGTAGAAATAAAAAGGGCGGGGTCTGTGCAATCTCTGGGTCTAAGTTTATAAAAGAGTAGTGTGCACGCAATTCCAAGTGATTCCAAACGACGAGGTGAAAAATGGCGGCTTTTAGTTAGAATTCTGAATTCAGAGGGATACCGCACGTGGTCAAATTAAAAACGCCCAACAAGAGATGGACATCTCTAGCCGGCGCTCTACAGTCTGATCTAGTTTGTTTCCGGTAAGCGTGGTCTTCCGATAAAAAACTAGGTTTTTCGAATGAAAACAATTGCTTTGCAGTGAAATCTTGGCCTAATTATTTGCATTACTGTGCATGCGTGCAACTGTTATTGCCGGAATCTACTTGTAGCAGTGATGCTGTGGGTGTTTATGTTTAACTGGCAGTTCCACAAATATTCCGCCTTACGGCCGAATGCACTGATTACACCTAGATGGATACATGTATTTCGCCTCATACTCTGCGTGCTTTGTATCTCGACTACTGTTATTTGCTTACCACCTTCGCACACCCCCTTTTGAGTAAACTTCGCATTACGTTTCTTCAATGTAAAAGCAAGTCTCATCTGTCAGTCAACATTAGAATTAAGTTAAAAACTGTTCCATATTGTCTGAATTCAAAGCTTTTTTGAAAGTTGCAGTCACTTAGAGTTTTTTCAGCTTCCCTTTTGGCACCACTCGTGAATTGCTTTTTTACCAAATGTAAAGAAACCACAGTAACTTTCCGTAACAAAATGAGAGGAGGTTCTCACACTATTATTTCCCAAAGTCAGGGTAGCGCACTCAAAGATCACCAACTATTTTTATTGTACAGAGCCCAATTTTTCCCTTTTCAGTATATGAAACTTAAAGTTGTTCCTAACTAGGCGTAGTATTCAGGTGTACAATCAGATTCGTCCGCAAGAATGGCATTAAATATGCGTTTCTGTCCGTTTTTGTGCGGAGTACCACGACAAAAATAGTGCAAAACGTCTTGGTACTAGCGTAAAACTAATAAAATATCTAATAATTAGTTCTGAACTTACTTTCTGGTGGACGTAGGTAATTCGGTTCTATTTTGTCAGAATAAGGAATATCAGAAGAGGAGAACACGTTGGATTTCATATGCCCAGAAGAACTTGGCCAGAAAACACTGCGGTTAGTCGTAGCTCTCCTCGTAATATTATGAAGCTTCTTGGAGCTGCAAGGGGCTTCAAGTAAAACAACATTGTTGCGTGACACCTTCTTGTAGTGTTGAAACTCAAGCTTTAATTTCACGAGATTGTAAGCATATATTTCCGGATGGAGGAGATAGTAAAAATCCACCGCAACGAAGAACACAAAAAAGACACAAAACAGTGAAATAGTCGTGGTTTTCCAAACCATCCAGTCACTTTTGCCTTTATCACTCCCAGTTAATAATCCAAAATCCGTTTTTTGCGTTTTCGCATTCGATGAGTAGCCACGGAGAGGCATCGCTGTTGCACACGGCACCTGCACATTTCTAAAACCACTAATCTGTTTTTGAAAGTTGGTAATCGGTAGTAAAACTTTATTTTCCTTCACAGGTAGCAGAGGTGAAGACAGCGTAGGAAGAAATTCTGTATTTGCATTTTCATTTTCTACGAGTAGAATTTTGGAAAACTGTGTCTCATCCTGAAAACAGGATCCATGCGTCAAACAAGTGTGCGTTTGACTTGGTGCGGAGCATAACAAGTCGATAGAAGAGACACAAACCACCAGGTCTTCTGTTGACATGTTTCGTCCTTTTCTCCCTTTTTGTCAAAATAATGCAACCCGAGGCAATTTGAAAGCTGGAATGAAATAAAATTGCCGGAAGTAAAGGATTTGTTGATCTAGAACAGGCTTTACATGACCTGATTAAGCAAGGCGGTTAAAAAGTTTAAAAACGAATGTCTTAGGATGCTTGCACAATTTGAGCCAAACCAGGAGAGGTACGGCACACTGATACCTGACGAACGGACGCACCAATTTTGTCGCAGTTTGCGAATAAAATAACGTTATTTTCGTGGCAGTGGTTTGTGTATTAGTGCTAATTTTGTAAGTGTGTCTAGAAGGTACCAACAGCAACTTTCCAACAAATGCACATGAGCCGGGCACAGAATTGCATAGAAGTGTTCAAAGACTTTGCGTCCCTAAGCCCTTTGTCGGTGACATGGCGTCACTCTCCATTATTTTTTCAGACAACATTACGTTCCTTCGATAAAACGTGAAAAACCAAGACACTTTGTTGATGCACGGAATATCTTAATCTCGCTCCGTGATGGTAAGACTGCGTAAAGTGACCATGGTAGTTCTAAGTCCCTTTTGCAGACAGCCAAGAACAAAAGGCAATGCTATACTATTCACTGGAATCGAGTGCCTCGGGACCATGGCATCAAAGGACAAACTCTATTTCCGCGTCTCCATTAAAGTGAAAAATAAAACAACCTGACGTATTTATCCCCGCTAGGGGGCTTTTTTAGAAGCAATAAGACACCGTTAAAGTATCACGCTTGAGCATAACATCCTCACACAAATATGGTTTGAAGAACCAAACCTATGTCGTGTTTCCCAAACATAATATTTATAAAAAGGTACTGCGCTTGTTCCTGCTTCGCCAAACTTCATCTGTGAAGATGAATGCAATTTTTCCAAAACTTAGGTTTCAACAGACATCCTAAATTTTAGAGTCATTTTCTTTTCATTGACTATCATACCACAGTTATCACTAGCTTTAAGCTACGTACGGTAAATGTCACCGTATTTCAACTTGTTCAGGATAAAAGAAACATAACAAATCCTGTTGTGAATACATGAATTTTCAAGCCGCTGATCGGGTTGTTATTCATTAAACCTAGGTCAAGAACTAGAACTTCTCACGAAGGGGGGTATTTTCACTACCCTCGCACTGGTCTCAGTGCGTTGCTGCAGTCAGTCAAAAAGTGATTCTCCCCGAAATGAAAGGTAGTTCAAGTGAACTAAGAGAAACAGAACATAAACTATGAAACTCTGTCCATATTTTTATTCAATAGACTTTTTGACAGACATCCGATGAGCAATTGCGAAGACTAATTACTTATTCAGTGAAACGTTCACCAGAATAGGAAAGTTGGTTATTTTCGGGGATTTTTCCGCGGTGCAGGTCAACTACCCATTAGTCGCCTACATCCTGGGAAACATTGAGGACATTTTATGTTTTCGTACATATTACTAAAAAGTAAACTAGAAAACCAACATGATAAATCAATGCCAAGTTTTTTCTTGCCGGTTATCTTCCAGAAAAATACCCACCTTTTCTTACAAAATCTTTCTTGTATACGAGAAAACCCGTTGACATCCTAGAAACCCTACGCGTTTGTCCATGAATAGTAAAAGGAAAACTGTCCATTTAAGTATATACTTTAGAGGTAAAATCTGACCCAAGTTTACTGCTAGGCAGGATTTGAGTGCTACATAAAAAAGACAAGTATCTAAATACTTTCTTCCTCATAGGTTAGCGATTTTTTCATGGCCTTTTTGCCTATTCAAAGCTAACTTCTAGTAGTTGCTGATGTTTGGAGCTGTGAATAGAGTGATAGAAGTTTATCGTTCACCTTGATACACAGGTGAAAGGTATGCGCTGAAGAACTATTGGGCTTATCAAGCCAAATTTACTGTTATATGAGCTATGTGCTCACTTGTCGCAACTTCACGACAATTAGGCACCTGCACTTCTTCACTGACTATCCGATACTAATTATTCGGCTTGTTTTTCACCTGGAAATTACCTCAATCAAGTAGTCCATCTTCATGGTTTTTTTAAGATAAAGATATTGAAATCATCTTGCGCGTGAGCTTTTTTCCATTTTATTTGAGGAAGTCTAAGAAACAAATGTGTATTCCGCAAGTTGACTAACCTTTTACCCAAGTACACTCCTGTTGATTGGGAACATATTATCAGTACGCGGTAGTATCAAAATGTTCTTCGGTTATCCGAACCTCGTCAACACTGGAAATCAAGTCACCTGCTTTAATGTCGAAAGCAAAACGGCGGCTCTTGTCAACAGTAGTTAGTAACCGCTTTTCAACAACTGCTTTTGTGTCTAGCCTGCAAAATTTATATATCAGTTCGACTGTGGTGAACCGCATATGTCATTTGCTGAGATGGCACTTAGCAGACAGACCTGCTTGCAACCGCTAACCCACTGCCACCATTCATTTTTCCCCACAAAGACGCACCGGAAAAGTTACCTCACTTGAGATTGATTTTTTCAATCAAATTATTTAGCTCTTCAAGTAGCCATGTCACGAAAAAACAAGTCAAAACTGTGTGTGTCGTAATCCCATGTAGTTGCGGCTGCGTGATCAATAAACAGAATCACGTCTGAAATGGCACAAGTTTCATTGGCATCGTTGGTAACAGTATCAGCGTCCTTGACATTCTATGAAACATGCGCTTCGGCTTGTGATTTCGGCCACGGCGCCCCAGGTTGGCGAACAGGTCCAAAATATTGAGAACCGTTATTTCATCCATACTCTGAAGTAAGATATCTGTAGACGTAGATTTTGCACATCACTGGTAGCGATCATCTTAGGCTACCACCAGTGCCCATCGGTTGAGCCTTCTGTAATAATCGGTATCAAGTATGGTGGACTTCTGAATCTTTACGTAGCGTATGGCTGCTTTACTTCAGGCATCCGCGGTATATGCGACGAGTATTTGCTAGAGTAAATGCAAGAGCTCTGGGTTCAGCCTTTTACCACTGATTGAAGGATAGAAACCAGGTAATTTCTTCATTAGTGCTATGCTGACACACCTACGTAGTGGTTTGTTCCATCTTAACTGTGACCATGTGGTCTTTGGTAGTGTCAGTTGTTTAAGATTTTACTCTGCGCCTGTGATGTTTTGGTATTAACCAAACACTTACACTCCTCAGCGTAAAAGCGACATCTAGGGTTGGTGAAAAGGTCGAGCTTTACGTAAAATTAAGCGCCTGGTAGACTTCATGTCTCCTAGAGCTTGGAACTGCTGAATTTGTACCAGGTTCTGCGATTTCATCCCACAAGGGTTCGAATCCTGTTAGAAAATGAGCTGTCTTTAGTTTCCATATTACTAAAATGTGAGTTAAAACTTTGGCACCTACTAACTGATTGAGTTTATAAACTCACTGCAGCAGCCTTCAGCCTGCACCTTTCCCTCATTTTTCGGGCTTCTTTTACCATGCGCAGCGTTAGGCTGCCAATGAATAGCAGATTTTCTCTTGTTTCTGCTTTCCAAAGTTGTTAAAATATAACAAATGGATTTCATCCGTCGAGTGTTTAACCAAGGCCCAATAACACCCCAGTGCTCAACGGTTTACGGTCTCCAGCAGTTTTACAAAGCTCATTTCTTGCTGGGCCTTGTAAGTAATTCTTTCTTCCATTGTTCTTCTCGGTGTTGCAGGTCTATAACCAATCCGTAGCCACCAAGTGTTTCGTAGTTGCTTGCTACCTTAAAATGGCCTCGTACCTTGCGTACGAAAAGTTGTTGGGGCTTTTCTTACTTGCGAGGAGTTATCTGAAAATCATATCAAGACAAGCATGACCACTTCAAATGAACTTCTCAAAATTCTCCTAGCTTGTAAAGGAAGGTGTTCGCTTTTGTAAGAACACACATTTATCTTCAGCATCTTTATTATTTGTAGAGAAGTCTTGCTTTTAATAAGTGGCATCATTATGGCAAAGGTACTTTGAAAAATCATAAGTTAAGACCGAGCAATAGTAACATTGCAGCTATCCTGCCAGCGGTTTAAATAATGGATTCTGAACGTTTCCTTTTCGATTTATGAAATAAAACTCTTGGATTTGGTATCTGCAACCTGCAATAATGCACTTTTGTATTTTTATCTAATTAATTTGGGTTTTACTAAGAACTGAAAACATTTTGCCTTGTTTTCAAGCACAGACTGATTTGTTGTCTCATTCAACTCTTGAAAAATGTAGATTCAAGGGTAGTTCCTAGGTTTTAACATTTTACTACTCTTACACGTGTACGGATCAAGGAACAAGCGCCCACAATTTCAATAGGTGAAATATGTCCAGCGAATATCCAGTGAATATATCCAGCCATCCGACAACCGCGCCCACTGGCTTGGGTTCGTTTTTGGTGAAGCACCTGGGTGTTACACGCTTGCTACTTTGTAAACTTTTCTAACGAAAATTATTACGATTGAGTTTGCAGAGTCTATTGGCTTTCGGTTTTGCAAGCACTAAAAAGCTGATGAAAACGCATTCAAGCAGGAAGGCGCAATAAGTTTATTCTAGTGTTAGCTCGGTAAATTACTATGTTCACACCTTGTGAAAAAACCGCAAAATTTTCCTTTTCTCTCTATTTTTTCCGTCAGGGAGCTATCCGTATAACTTTCTCTCCATATCAGAAAATTCTCCGCATTTTGCATTTTTAACCGGCCAATGTTGATATTTTATGTTTTTGATTGTCCATACCTAAGTGGCTGTGCTACATGTAAGTGATGCCCACCTTTGTGTTTGGGCTAATTCCGTTTTAAAAAGCCCCTAAGCTTGTAAGCCTAGCTTATGTCAGTAAGGTATTTAACGACGCAATCTCACTTTGTTCTGATGTTGACGAGTTTTTTGCTTTGTTTACAGTAGCATTTGTTACCAGCTTCTTAGGTAAGCATTTGTTTTACCATACTCAGCAAGTGAATGTTTGCTTGGTATTCGTTTCTTGCACCTTAATATATCCAAAAACGAAGTGCTAGGTTACGCAGGTTGAGATG